TATTAAAACTTTTTTTAGATATAGATTAAACTTGGGTAGCCCTAATTACAGAAAATCTTGCGTGAACCTGGTCCACAATAATATTATTGTGGACCTAAGGTTTATACACACGTAACTGACATTATATTCAATATATATAGTGACCCTTAGTTCTAATATAGTAACCTTATTTTTAATATAATAACCTTTTTTTAAAATTTGTGTGACCTTTAATGTTATTATGAAGTTAAAGTACGACACTATGTTGAATAGTGGCCTAATTTTTACATAATGATCTTTATTATTCATATAATCATATGACCATTATTCTAAAAATTTCATTAAAAAATTAACCTCTTATAGCTTTTATAATATCATACTAACTTTTATTTCAACATAATAACCTTTGTTTTAATATAGTGACCTTTATTTTTTACAATCATATTGTCTCTAATGTTGGTGGTCCACAATAAATTAATGTGAACCAGGTTCATTTAAGAATTTGTACCCTAATTAACCCTTAGCACAACTAATCTGAACTTAACATTTCTGAACTTATCTTATATGAAATTATCTGAACTTATTAACCCTTATTTGAAATTATTAACCCTGAAATAAGTTGAAATAAAGTGAACAGAATAGGGCCTAAATGGATTCTTACATTTACTAATTATTAAAAAAAATGAGTTGGTAAAATTATGTAAATATATGCATTTATGTAAATAAGTAAAGTATAAAGATAACTTTATGTACGAAATATAAAAAGGAGGAATAGTCGTGCACGCATTGCGTGCACCTCTAAACTTGTATCATTTAAAGTATACGTACTTGTAAATAATATAAATATTCGTACTACTAATTAAATATAGTATGGTACTTTTATAATAATATAAAAGTTGAAAAATCATATGCAAAATTACAAAAAATACCAATTTTCAAATTGATATCATTAAATAAATATTCCCAAAAACATAAGTACATAACTACACTTGAAGGAATTATTAATTTCAGAAAAACTAACCACCATAGGAGAAGTTATCTTTTTTAATTTACGGAGTAGTTAAAAATGAAAGTTATTTTTTAAGGTTAAACTTTAAATAAATTTTAACTTTTTTATTTATAATAATTTTGGCATGTTGCTTTGGAAGTGAAAAAATTAGTTGTCTTAATGGTGTAACTTTTTCATTTATCGTGTTTGGTGAAGTAATGGTAAACGCGGGGCTAAAATGGGAGTAATAGAGAAGCAAAGTGCAATGGATCTCTAGAGTAGGGAAGACCAGAAGAATATTCATGCTTGTTGCCAGCTACATTCTTAAAACATGGACCCGTTATAGAATAATGCATTATGGGTCTTTTGAATTAACCGTCTTCATATGAATAATACGTAGTACATGGGTTTGACCATTTAAATAATGCATAACGGTTTGAATAATAAATAATACGGAATAATGGTGTAAATAGCTTACTAACATTTAAATTTTTTAAATCGCAAATTCGCAATGAATTCTTTTAAGATATTTACAATTTATTTGAATTATTAATTACTTTATCACAAAGTCTTCTATGTGGCTAGCTAAATAATGTGACCACTTCACATAATCTCATACAAGACAATTAATTAAATAATAGGAGGGTTACGGTGATGAGCGAATGTGATTACCTTTAACTCGTGTGTAGGTTACTTAAATGAAAAATAGGGGTTACTCTCTTAAATAAGTATATTTATTCTTTCATTCTTTAAAACAAAAGAATTGGGATTACTTGAATGAACAAATGGAATATTTATAAATTACTTGAATTCACTCGTTTAATGAATTCGGGTTACTTTTATGGACAACATGAGATTACTCTTACGAAAAATATAGGTTACTCATACATATAAATGAATATTACTCTTATAAACTAATGTGGCCACACTGTGTGACTAGCTACATACAAGAATTACCCTTAATTTATTCAAATAATGTTATACATGCACGATATTTATTATAATTTTTTGAGGTACCAAATAAATATATATACACAAAAAAATTAGAATATTGAAATAAAAAACCATATTACCTATACTTGCTGTTTTCGTATTTTATTACCTGCTTCATTTCTCTAAACATGAAATTTTAGGAGACATTGTAGAAAATATTACTCCCTCCGTTTCATAATGATATTCTTGTTTGGAATATTTGACTTTTTTTAAAAAAGAGATAATCTTCTAAATTTCTCTTAATCTACAATAACAAATATAGTCATGTGAGATCTTGTTTGATTCATCTTGATGAGTAGAATATTAATATCTAACTTTTACAATTTTTGCTAGTGTGAGATTAAAGATATGTGCGATCAAAGATAAGTTAAAATTTACATCGATTTACGAAACAGGAACATCATTCTGAAATGAAGGGAGTATTTTATGAGAGAGGTTGGGTGTTAGACGGTTGGTTGAAGAATAAAATTTTTTGAATAAACAAAAGTTAAGTATAAGTGGGGAAAAGACAGAATATACAAAAATATTAAAATATGATATAGTGAGACTACTAGTGAAGAGAAAAATATAATTGTGCAACAAATAATAAAATATGGAGGGGGTATTAGTATAGTCAACTTTCGGGTGATTACCATACAAATAGGTGATAGTATATGTATCCATTTGGGATACAAATAAGCAATACATATCTTTACTGGCTTATTTGGTATTGCTTTAGAAATGCATGACAAAATCATGCATAAACTAGTAAAGATATGTGATTAGCACCAATTCGGGTTGGAAAACACTAATGCATAGTTCGTTCTTTGTGTGAAAATATTCATGCGAACCTCTAGATACTTACAGATATTATGAAATCTTATATCTTCGATGATCCTCGCCAAAAGAAAAAACAAATAAATTAAACAATATAGAACAACCACCATATCAAGGATACAATGCATGGGATTTATTATTTATTGAAAGCAATTAAAAACTTTTTGGGGCTTTTATTGGTGTTCTACTTATCATCGGCAAGAACACTAGTGGCAGCCCTTACAAAGATTCACAAATGAGACCAGGAAGAAAAGAGATGAAAGAGAATGTCAGATTAAGAAGAAGAGTGAAAAGCCCCAAAGAAAGAAACAAACCAAATGAAACTAGAAGCTAAAAAAAAAAACAAACTAGAAAACAAATAACTAAACCACTCAAAACCACTCCCTCATACTCAACTAAGAAAAATCTTAGTTTAGCATTCTTGGAAGCATACGAGCTTTAGAAACCCCACTAATATCCTCTAATAAAACGTCAAGAAGATCTTTCGAGACTGCCTAAAAAAGAATCAACTTTGACTCCATTTGAGCACCGTAATTGGTTAGCCAATCCACCACCCTATTTATTTCTTTATAGCAATGATTCAACAAAACTTCCCATCATTCTCTCTACTTATCAGATCCTTTCATTTTCGAATTATATGAGCATAAGGGGAAGTAGCAGGGCTATCCTCCGTAAGCATCTGCAAGACCACCTCTGAATCCATAGCAAGTTGCACCCTCCTATGTCCTCCATTCCAGGCTATAGCAAGCCTTCTCATTAAAGCTAGTAGCTCATCTTTTGTATTGGTGAAAGAACCACAATTAACCGCAAAGTACTCAAACAATTCACCCCTATTCTCTCATATAATTCCTCCAGCACCAGCCGCACCATCTGTATTCAATTTCACCCACCCTTCTCTCAAGAAAATCCACTTAAGATAAACTTCTTCTCTTTGCGTTGGTTACTTTCTAAGTTGAAGCACATTCCTCTCCCAAGGTCTTTTAATATCTCCAACCCAAGCCAAAATAAAGCTACATTGATCAAAAGGTATCCTTACGAACTAGTCTAAGGCACACGCACATCTCCACTTCCAAATCCACCAGCATGCAACAATGAAAATAATAGTTCAATCTTCACTTCTATGCGGGGCATTCTCATCTAAATTGTCAAGTAGCCACAACTTAAATGGTCTTCCTAGAAAATTAGTGTCACTCGTCCCTCGTAGACTTCTCCAGACTATCAAAGCAAGGGGATACTTGCGAAGTATTTGCTCAGTATCTTCTTCAGCTGCACCACAAGCTTGGCATCTTGGGTCATTAGCAATTTTTCTCACAAACCTGTTTCTATTTGTCATAATTCGATCTTGAATTGTAAGCCACAAAAATAACTGAACCCTTTGGGGAGCTCTCATCCTCCAAACGCTTCTAGCCTTACACTTGTTTAATTGGGACATCATGGGAGTTGCGCACAATCTGAATGGCTGAGCTTAAAGTGAAGCCTCCAGATGTCATACCATCTCAGTAAACTTCGTCTACTGCCTCTTTATCCTCTATTAAGTCAAAAAATGCAATTTCAGCCAAGGTATTGGCAGGTAAGTACGCAACAAATTCTTCAAACTTCCACCCTGCATTCGAATCCCACAAATCCCATACTTTCATCTTTTGCGTAGCTATTAGAGGGGTGGGATCATTAAGGGTGATATGAGGCTCTTTTGTAGCCTAAAATTTTAGCCAAAACATAGTTGTCGTTCCATTACCCATAGCCATGTTTATGCCTTTTTTCAGCACATTAACACTTCTCATTATCCCTTCCCAAGTGTTAGAGGCACCTTGTCTCTCACGAAACATGTCCATGACGAGGGGAAAGACTAGGTCATTGACTAATCCTCCTTAAGTCAAACTAAATTTATAAACACTTAACAAACCTAAATACAAGTATAGAGGTAAGTCAAGGGTCAAACTCAAAGGAATGGTAATATTCAAGCGCTTTCAATTATGCGCCTAACACTAGTAGAAAATTGCAATTTGACACCGGTTCAAACACCCCATTTGGCCCCGGTTTTGAACCGTTGAGTATTTGAGGGATGCCAATTCATAAATAAAAAGTCACCGGTTCAAAACCGGTGGCAATTGCTTAAATTGGCACAGGTTAACCGGTGCTAATAATTATTTTTGGCACCGGTTAACCGGTGCCAATAATATTCCCGGTTTTTTTTGGTATTAAATATAATTGGCACCGGTTAAAATGCCCTAAAAAAATAATTTATTTTTATTTTTTCTTTTTTCACCCAAAATTAGCAGCAGACTGTTATAATATACATAGTATACTTAAAACTGATAATTTCATTGATAACCTTTAATTTTACCCTTGCAAAAAACAAAGGAAAAAAAATACATTGGATACATTCACTATAACAAGAACAACAACTTCCTACACAACAATCACTAGCAGAGTAGCAGCATCACAATTACTAGACAACAACAGCTCCGAAGCAGCAGCACAGAACAATAATACAGCGTCCGAAGCCTGAATCTCACACCACGCCACTGGCTTAAGTTCTCTGGTTTCTGCAGCAGCAGCCTCGGCAGGGCAGCTGCAGCCTTGCCAGGCCACATACAATGGTTAGTTCCTTTTGTATACTTCGTATTATTTAGAAGTGTTACTGCTATAGAAACATCTTTAAACATGAATTCTTGCACAAAAATTCCAAGTTATGCAAAATATATAAGGTACTCAATATATCACCAATCACCAAACATAAGGTTCACAACTTCACATTTAAAACCCCAAGACAACACTACAATCAATAGGACTTAATAAAATCTAGAAAATTTACAATTGTAAATCATACAACATAGATAGTTATCCAAACACTATAATCATGCATTACCAACCATCTCCAATCATTATAGTAACTACTAATTTAGAACAATCCCAAACAAAATCACAAAACAAAAATAGATACTAGTATAGTCGCACAAAACAAAATCACATTCGATATTAGTATACTCACAAAACCGTTCCAAACAATCCCAAGCTGAAGGAGAACAAAAAAAATCCCAAAGCATGCATATTATCCATCAACCAGACAATAATTGTTCATATGAATAAAAATCCCAACATTTTCCCCACTTCATACTATGATTAATCATACTTGACTAGAAATCAAGATGTAGCATACAAAAGAACTCATGTTGGAGCTGCCTGTTAAACTAGATACTGACTAAAAATTTTCACAATTCATGCACTAGGTATTTTGTAAGAAATTTGGCTGACTTCCAATCATATATAGGCTTAGGTTTTAGCAATGAGGTGATAGTGATGACGTAAATATGGGTTTTTAACCCAACCAAATCAAAAGCAGTAAAATCAAGAAATTTTTACAAGGAAGAGATACAGTCATTGCACTAATTCAAACTAGGCATCTCCGAGAAGGAACAGAAAAGCACTTACAGAATATGCAAATTTTATCAATCAAAAGATTGGCCATTATATTATAATTCTATGATTGATCTTGTCTCTTTGATCATGGATGTCTAAAAGTAAGGTATCATTGATTATATATGCAAATAGAACATTGTAAAAGAAACTTAATAGGTGCAAAAAGAACTAGGCAAGTGCTTATGCAAAAAACAAGCATCATACTCTGTATAAGCCTAAAATTATGTTATTGTTTGAATACAAATAAAAAAGCAAGTATCAAGCATCATACTCTGTATAAACCTAAAGCTATGTTTGGTTTAACTTATTTAGCGTGAATTTATATTAAATTGAGCTTATTTTCACCACGACAGAACTTATGCTTCCAACAACTTTGTTTGAATTAAGACAAGTTATATTATTCAAGTTCATAAAACAGATCCTAAGCTAGCAAAACTCAGTGCCTGCGTTAAGTTATTTTCTGAGTAAAAAATTTAGCAACTATAGAAAATTAAGTAAAAAGCTGCCGAACGAAAGTGAAAAAATCAAAATGACAATTGGTCTTATGTAAAAAAAACAAAAGTGAAAGCTAGAATTTCATTTTTTTAGAACTAAGCCAAATTAAAGGCTAGCTTGAAAACAACAGATGTAAAGCAAAGATCTAGTCTAAGTTATCATTAGGTTTGGACGTTGAAACTTACTTGCTTATCGTATCAAAGCAAATTCATACAATATTGAAACACTACACAAGTACTAAGCATCAGCAAGCTGCATACTAACCAAATTTGGTCGGTAGGAGAGGGTTTACAAAGATCCTACATTAGATTCGAACGAGTTTCGAGTTCAAGAAAAGAGCATATAAAAAAGTTGAAATCATATAGGCATACTGAAATGAAACATTGCATATTGTTCATCGTGGACGATTATTTAAAAAATGAACACATGAAGTGAAGCACATACTGAATCTGGCCTAATGCATACTGTCCCTCAGATGGGGAATAAGACAGGAGAAGGTTTGGATACATTTGTTTATACCCCTCTCCTCCTCCCCTAGCTTATTTCTTTCTAGAAAAAATTGCACCAAACTGCCAGGCGAGAATAATAATGTAACAGGCAGTAATATTCTCTAATTAAGGGCATACTTGGATCAAGGGTGAAGCAAAGAGGGGATAATAAGAGACGAATATAAAAGTGGTAAGGTGGTGGTGATTGAGGAGGGATACATGGAGATATCACTACCTTTAAAACGGGTGTTAGTTCAGCACCAGTCACCTAGTGTAAATATTGTTCCTTGCTTATCAGCCAATAATTGTTCCTTGCTTTTTATTTGTATTCAAAAAGCAGTAAAAATTCCCATTTCATTAAGAACACTTATTATGAACGAAACCCAGAAAATATTTCCAAAATCTACCATCAAACAAAAGTAATGGATCCCAAAATTAGCAATTAAATTTTTTACATAAATTGATAAAAATAATTACATAATCTAGAAAAAAGGAAAGAAAAGAAAAAAGAAATACTAGAATGAAAGATATGAGATTAAGCTAAGAATTACGCTTAAATAAAGAACGATTTCCCTTAATATTGTTAAAATAGAAATTAATTCCCATTATGCTTCGTTTTAAAAACAAATTCCCAAAGTAGTGTCCACGTAGGATTGGTTTTCGGTTCAACTTAAAACCGCTAACGGTAGGTTTTGCAATTTTTGTAAAATAAAGTCAAAGAGACCTGTTTTTATTGAAAGGCGGTCTCTTTGAAGTTATAAGTGTAATTGCCAGCGCTCTCTTTTCTTGTGGGGGCTAAGAATAAACAAGGACACAAAGAGACCTTTCGTATTGAAAGGCGGTGTCTTTGAAATAATTTTCCTGTAGACTATGCCTTGTGAATTAACCAAGGACGCAAAGAGACCTGTTATTGTTAGAGGCGGTCTCTTTTTTAAAACCGCTATTACCATTAGCGGTTTTTAGTTGAACCAAAAGCAAATAAAAACGATCCTACGTGGACACTATGTAGGGAATTTATTTTTAAATCAATGTATTATGGGAATTGATTTTAATTTCAACATTATTATGGGAAATCGTTCTTAAATAAATTAGTAACGAATCGATCTACTGACCTTGTTAACAAAAATCCCAATAAAACATGCAAATTGAGCTCCAAATGGTATGAATTAGGGATTCAGAAATTGGGTTTTTTTTTCTTCTTCGAATTTACTGAAAAGCCTAGAAATCCCAATTAGTACCGTCGCCATCCTCATAACCACCTCTAATTCGATCTAATAAAATTTGGAACCCTAGATTATAAATTAATACAGTTACTTTCCACAACAAATTCATTAAAATTAAAAATTAAACAAGAACATTTATTCACCTGGCTGCCGGAAATAACCCCAAATTCCACCGGAGTTGCGAGGGGGAAAGGGACGGAGGAACGAGGAAGCTTGCGAGAGAGAGGAGGACGACCGACAATGCTTGAGTAACGAACCCTGGCTTCAATGGAGAGACAACAGATCTACGCTTCAATGGAGAAAGAAGGGAGTTCAAGGGAGAAGAAGGGCATGGAGAGGGAGAAGAAAGGGGCTTAGGGTTTGGGTTGAGGAGAGAGAGAGAGAGGAGGAGATCGAGACATATGAGGAGAGAGAGAATGTGAAAAAAGAAAAGGAAAGAGAATGAATATGGGAAATAAAAGGGCCGGTATTTTAATGCCACCGGTTTGAACTGGTGCCCTTCAAGGAATTTGGCACCGGTTTGGTTTGAACCGGTAAATCCTGCCTTGTTTTTTTCCCACCGGTTTTTAAAAATCGGTGCCCATTACTCGGTGCTCTTTTGATATTTTCTACTAGTGTAAGCTAGGTCGAAGTCAAGGGTAAATAGGTAACACTAACAACTAATAAACAAACAACCAAACAAATAAAACAGTAGGAATGGGGATCAATAAGTAATCATGACAATTGCACAACTTAGGATAAACATGCCAATCAATGGTTGTGAAGACTAATGATAAAATCTATCAATTGAAATCAAAGTGCTATCTCTTAATCGTTAAGTTAGATGTCTCTACGAATAACAAACTAAGAGAATCACAATCCAAACCAATCGATAATTGATGCGTGCCATTTATGGCACTCTTAGGCTAGGTTTTCTACATATTTTTATGCTCCTCTATGTCGTGTTTTTAGATAATAATGGTTGAATTGCATATTTGTGCGTAAGTTTAGGAAAATGCGTGCTTTTAATGGTTTTATAATTATTTTATTCATTTCTCGGCTTTTTCTCTCGCTTCTCCATTCCTTTGACTTGTTTTGTAGGTGTGTTGAGTTTCCCGGATTTAATCATCAAGGAGGGAGCTCAAGTGCATTCAAGGAATTCAACGGAGCCGAGTTCAAGAAGCCAAGCATGCAAGTCAAGCAACCAAGCAAGCTTCGCGACCCTGAGCAACAAAGCAGCAGCCCTGAGTAATCGCGTAACACAGCAGCACACCCGAGTAGCCACGCAGCCTAGTAGCGATGCCGCGCACCCAGGAGCCGCGGGCGCGGGTCTTCATGCCGCTGGCGCGGGTGGATGCACCTCAAAAGCAGAAAATTCAAGAAAAATGCCACCGCGGTCTAGCCGCAGGCACTGGCCCCTTCCCTGCGGGCGCGGCCTCGGGCTGCTCTATTCTTGTTTTTCTCCTCTGAGGGAGCGACTGATTTCTCTACGGGCTCGATTTTCTGGGTTTTATTCGCGATTTAACTTCTTTTCTCCGTTTGTATATATATGTACGACTTTCTTTAGTCTTCATACATGAAATTCTTTAGTTTAGAATAGTTTCTATCTCCTCTAAGAAGGATTAGGTTAGTTTAGGAGTCTCTCTCTCTAGATTAGGAGTAGTTTTAGAGAGATAAAGTGAAGGATTTCAATGGTGATTGAGAGATTGAAGATACAAGGGTGACAATTGTGTTGAAGATCTTCTCTATTATCAATGAGCATTCTTAACTCTATCTCACCTTATTGCTTTGTTTAATTTCATGTTTGTTTGGTTTAATTTTGACGTTTGATTCTTGATAGTGTAATTGTTCTTGATATATTGTTGATCCTTGATTTCCATAGTTGTTAGTTGATAGATGATGATTCTTGAATAGTTATTTTGTTAGGAATTGGGTGAAACTTGTATGATTGATTAATTGTGATTAATTTGGGAATTGTGTTGATTGATTGTTGAGATTAATGTGATTAATGAAGGTTTTCATGTGTGTAATTCGATTAGTCCTTGAGAATTATGCTAGATTGCATTGTAATTGCTAATGACACGAACAATTGATTTAGGAATTGCAATTATTGATTGGTTTGGATTGTGATTCTCTTAGTTTATTATTCATAGTGAACCCTAGCTTAACGATTAGGAAATAGCTCTTTGATTCCAATTGATAGCTCTTATCACATTAGTCTTCACAACCTTTGATTTGCATGATCTTCCCAAGTTGCTGCATTTGACATGATTACTTGTTGATCCCCGTTCCTAGTGTTTTATTTGTTTGGTTTCTTTATTTGTTAGTTTTTAAGGTTACCTCTTACCCTCGATTTTGACCTAGCTTAAGCGCGTAATTGAGAGTGCTTGAACATTACCGTTCCTTTGGGTTCGACCCTTGACTTGCCTCTATACTCGTATATAGGTTTGTTAAGTGTATATAAATTTAGTTTGACCGAGGGAAGATTAGATAACGACCTAGTTTTCCCCTCGTAAATAATTGCAATTCCTAAATGGAAAATTTGTCAGGAACTACACATTTAATATGGGTAATTGGAAACAACTACCCACTAAAAAATTTTATCAAAAAAACTACCCCCTAAATTTAAAAGTTAGAGTAACACTACCCATTTGCATTTTCTGGCGAGAATGTCCAGCGCATGGGCCCACTTTTTCAATTTTTCTCTGAAAAGACACGATGCAATGACAAATTGGACCTTAATTCGTAACCCAAAGATAACCAATTTGAATTAAAAGCAACAAATTCAACCAATTTCAAATTATCCCCAATTTCTAAGAACCCGAATTTTTCTAATCGTTACACTCTAACATGAAAATTCATAATTAATGGATTAAAAGAAAATAATTACCTATGAATTGCATATCCTACTTGTTTTCACTTCTTCAATTAGAATTTTTTAGAAGAAAAATTGAAAAAGCAGGCCCCACACATCAGACTTTCTCGCTAGAAAATGCAAATGGGTAGTGCTACTCTAACTTTTTAAATTTAGGGGTTAGTTTTTTTGATAAATTATTTAGTGGATAGTTTTTTCCAAATACCCCTATTAAGCATGTAGTTCCTGACAATTTTTCCTTCCTAAATCAATTGGTTGTGTCATTAGCAATTACAATGCAATCTAGCATAATTCTCAAGGCCTAATCAAATTGCACACATGCAAACGTACATTAATCACTTTAATCTCAACTATCAATCAACACAATTCCCAAATTAATCACAATCAATCAATCATGCAAGTTTTACCCAATTCCTAGCCAAACAACTACTCAATAATCATCATCTAACAACAATCAACTACAGAAATCAAGAATCAACAAAATATGGAGACACAATTACACTAGTTAAGATCAAACATCAAAATCAAAGCAATCAAATATCAAATCAAACAAAGCAATAAAGAGGAGAGAGAATGTTAAATCCTCATTGATTGATAATGGAGATCTTCAATACAATTGTCATCTTAAATCTTCAATCTCTCAAACAACCATTAAAATCCCCCACTTTCTCTCTCTAAAACTACTCCTAAACTAACCCTATATCTAGAGAGAGAAGCTCTCAACTAAGCTAAGAAATATGAGATCTAAAATTGAATTCTAATTGTTTTCTTAATTTTACCCCAAAATGGGTATTTATATTTACAAGGTTAAAAGGAAATAAAAGAGAAAAGAAAATAAAAGAAAAGGAAATGAAAATAAAATAAATAAGAAAAGAAAAAGAAATTAAAAAGAAAATATAAAAATAAAAGGAAAACAAAAAGAAACGAAAATAAGAAATCAATTAGGGGGTGTTTGGCAAGTGGGAATTGAGGGTAGGATTGGGAATTTTAATTCCAATTGAAAAAATAAGCCTTGTTTGTTTGGTGGGAATGAGAATAAAAAAGGGTTTGGAAATGTGATTATTTAGGGATGAATTCCCACCATTTTATTACCTAGGGAGGGTAGGTAATAAATGGATGGGAATGGGAATAGGGGGAAAATGACATTTTTGCCATTAATGAAAAGAATGAAATAATAATCTTAGTACAGATATTTTGGCAAAATTGTTATTTATTCCCTATATATTCTCACCCACCATCCAAACAAGGTATTGGCATATTTTCACGTATTCCCATCAATTAATTCCCAATCCCGTTCCCACCTTTTAATCCTCAAACTCCCATTCCCACGATCCAAACGCCCCGTCAGGATTTCGATTTTTGTTGCTCTTAATTGGGAAATAATCCATGCTTCTCACATCACCAATCACACACCATCACAACCGTTCTGTCATCAATTTAATCAAGATCAACGACCGAAATTCAAACCTAGATGTTTGCACGCACTTTGTTAAATGGGATGCCGGTGGTGTTTGCGGGGCTGCAAGCTGGAGGCGAACTGGTTGGCTGGTGGCGTTAGTTGCGGCTGGAGCAGGGGGTAGCAGTTATGCAGTTATGGCGGGCTACTTTGTGGCTGTTTCGTTCTAAAGGTGGAATAGGGGAAGTAACTAGGTGGATGGGGTTGTTGCGGCTTGCGGAGGAAAATAGAGGAAGGTGGCGGTTTTGTTGTGAAAGCAGGGGAAGTAATTGGTGTGGCTACTAGGTGTTCGTGTGGTGGCGGAATAGGTGGTCTGTTGCGTGGGTGCAATTGGTGAACGACAATGCAGGGGCCACTCTGTGGTTTCGGGTGACAGAGATTGATATGGGCTGTTGGTGATTGGATGTGAGTTGCTCTGTGTGTGAGTTGGTGGGAAGGTAGAGGAAAGTGGTGGTGTGAATTGCTGGCAGAAGGTTTGTGGTGCTACTAGGAGTTGTTGTTGCTAGCTGTTGGTGAATTGGGGAGGCAAGGGAGTAGCGTGAGTGGTAAGGTGTTTGGTGGGCACGAGGATCAACCTCATAGCAAGCTCGTGATGCCCACTAAAGCAAGCAGTCCCAAAACGCATTTATAATGGGTTCAACACTACTTGGCTTGAGAGCGCGAGGGCATCCACCCACAAAACACAATTAAAACCGAGGTGAAAATGAAGTAAAATGAACTTAAATTTAACAAACAAAATTAAAATAAATAAAATGAAAATGAAAAGGATAAAAGAATAAAAGATATCAAAAGAAAATAAAATAAAGGAAAGAAAAATGAAATGAAATGAATATGAAAATAAACTAAAATAAAATAAAAACTAAATCTATAAAATCTATAATAAAAGAAAGGCAACTAAAATAACAAAAAGAGAATAAATAAAGGAGAAAACACAAGAAAAAACCATTAAAACACAAAACAAGATAGAAAAGGGAAATAAAGAGAAAATGCATAAAACTAAGTGTTTATTAAGAAAGAAAGTTATGAAAATAAGGTAAAAACAACCTAAATACTCATCAAATGAGTGTCATAAGTGACACTCATCAGCCCGCATCACACCGTCCCCCACAATATTTGTGTCGCAT